TTAGAAACAAAAAAAATAAGGCACTCAGATTTTTTTTTAATAAATTTTTTAAACTGCAGAAAAATCATTTTAAAGTCATCTTTTGAAGTATCAAATATTTTAAATTGGGAGTATTTTCAGTTCAGTACATACTTGCCATTCTGCCTACACCACTGAAGGTCTTGAAAGTGTGAACTGAAAGCTGCATGAGGTGCCTGCCAATGGGGCTGGTGGAATTCAGCCCACAAGGGGATGGGGCTTTCTGCCAACTGCACTCCAGCCATGGACTGGGGGCCCTGCAAGGATGCTGGGCAGCCATATCATGTGTCACTGGGATTGGGTATGCACCTGAGATGCTGGGTTCTCCAATATATAAAATGATGTCAGTAAAAATAAATGAGTGGGTAAGAAGTGAGAAAGAATTGTTGAGCACTTCATGCGCTCTCCAAAGCAAAACAAAACTTTAAAGAAAGAAATTAAGTCTTTGCAATTGTGCTGACAAAATGCAATGTGTAATCTGTGAAATCTGTTTCACACAGATGATGTCTAGAGCAAAGAAGTTCAAGGTATGTAATTTAAACTACTTGCTTAACAACTTTCAGGAAATATTACCTGTTTCCCAATAAGCTTGATATTATGTTCTTTTATTGCACTGTATTGTTAATTTAGCTATTTGCAATTAAAATTACACTTACAGTTCATTTTGAACTAGCTGCACAAGAGTTGCACTTATGTAATATTATTTATTATTGTTATTAGTTTTATATGTAAAAAATGTAAAGGCTAAAAATATGTAACTTTATGTGCCTGAATGTCCACACACTTTAAAAAGTGAAGTTGGATTAAAAAAAAATAATGGTATGAGACTACAGTAATTCTGTATGTATAGTATATAAATATTACCTTTCTAATTCATGCTACCTCAGTCACACTGCTGTATTCAACATGTATCAATACCAAAAAGTAAAAGCTCAAATCATTTCACAAAATGAATTCCCATCAAGCAATTTCCATATATATTACAGAAAATCCTTGTGTATATTCCTCCTAGCAAAGCAACAGAGAAGTTCCAAAGGAGAAGGAAAAATGGGAAAGGATATATTTTAAGCAAAACACCGCTATAAAACAATTCATTAGCGTGTTTTTCTCAAAGTTATAAAGACCAAAAACTCAAGCCAACTTCATGCAAAAGGTGCCTTTTGCAGTCAAATGACTTCTTTTTCCCACAGTTTCACTTGTATTGGTTTGCCTTGCATGGATAATTTGCAAAGAAAAATAAACCTTTTCATGTGCACACGCAAAGCAAGATGAGTGAATGCAAAGATTCACATGAATAAGAACAATAAGCACAAGATCAAGATGGTAAAAGAAGAAACTCAAGATGAACACAAGGGCTACAGTGTCAACTGCACAGTGTACTTGCCCTACTCTTTCTTTCAGTTGCTGTAAATTTAGGTTATTCCCTGGATACTTTACTTTTCCATTGCTGTCATAATTCCATCTGACCAAACTTTTCCCTAGCATCACTTCCGTGTTTTCTTGAAGATAACTAACCAAATATTTATAAAAGTTGTTTACAGAAACAGAAGGTAAACTAGGACTCTGAGAAAGCCCCATGGCAAAAAAAAATCTCAAAAAAAGCTTTGCATCTTGCCTTGCACTTTTTCTTAAATTAAATATTTGTCAGAAAAATATCCCCACGGTAAACCAGTTTTTTTTTTAGAACATTCTGAATGCTTCCTTCCACTTTGTGTCCTTGCAAAACACATGGGAAGAGTGCTGATTCCTGTAAGTACTCCAAACTGCTTTCTGGTAGCCTTACTCGTTTATCCATTCAGTACACTTTGTTTGGGATTGTGCAGCACTGACAAATAGGATCTCCACTTTTCAAATATCAATTCTTTGAGAAGAATAAAGCTTAGCAAAAGATTCTTCTGAAAAGACATTCAAATGGAAAAGGTCTGATTCCAAAAACTTCCAGACTCTCCAGAAATACAGAATGTTACAAGAAAATCACGATGTATAGAATCATAGAATCATAGAATCACAAGGTTGGAAACGACCTATAAGATCATCTAGTCCAACCATCTCCTCACCACCATGGCCACCACAAGCACTAAACCATATCACGCAACACGTCATCCAGACAAGGTAAATCACAGTACACATTATATAATCATATTATAATTATATTATAATATAGTTATATATATATAATATATATTATATATAATATTATATTATAATCATTGTATAATCAATGTAATCATAGTACACATTATATTAAGCCATGTTATAGACATAGATACTCCTTATGTCTTCTAAATATTGTCATTCAGACTACTTTAGTCTCCGTACCAAAGATCTTACATGAGAACTTCTACACAGAGCATGAAAAAAGGACCCACACAGCTCTATTCTGAAAATTTTCTGAACATTCCCTTGCATAATCATTGCTGCTTCATCCCACAATCTTTCTCAGAAGATTTACTCTCTGTAGGCTGAGGCACGTTTAAAGACGATAAGTCAAATATACGTGAGTAGAGAGAAATTTATGATAATGACCAGCTTAACTAGCGACAGACTCATACTACCCTAGTGGGATGCAGTACTGGAATTAAATATGGAACACCTTGAGCTAAAGCATGAATTCTTACAGGTAATATGCACATTTGAGTAAATGTCACAAATCAATTTGTCTGGTTTATGATAAGTGTCTGATTAACATCAAACTTATTCTTCCTCGTTGTATTTCACCCTCACCTCCTATCTCCCATAGTATCTCATAACATCTGAAAAATATGCGAACTCATGAAAACATATTTTAGTATCAATTCTTAAGTCCCTTTACAGGCATCATTCTTAATCTTTTAAAGAATTTGTGGGAATTGGTTGCATGAATGCATTTATCTTCAGTTTTTCTACAGAGAACCTTAGCTCTGTCTCTGCTTTTGTATGTAAGGACTGTCACAGAGTAAGTCTCACTGGAAGTTATTAGGAGGCCATGGAGCAGATCTCTATTCCTCGAGAGGTCTAAAATGCAACAAAAGTTTAATCATTTTATTCTTTTTTGATTAGGTACAGATACAGGCAAACACATAATGCTTGACAGCTGAATGTTACTTGGGTAACAGCCATTTCAAAGACAGAGAAGAACACAAACAGCTAATCACACTATTTACACAATAGCTTAAAGATCCAAAACACAAACTCTAAAAGCAGATGAACTAACAGTTATTGGCTTCCAGCTCCTTAGTAACTGAGACAAAGGAACTTTCCAAGAGCTCAGGAAAGGGAAACTAGTTGCCCTTGCCTTACGAAAGAGGATGTGTAGTCAAAGCAGTGGCTTCAAATATTGCAGGGCTACGGTCCTGACTTCTCTTTGCAGCACTGGCATTAACAGCAGTAACCAGTGTGGATTTCAGGGATTCTTCCCAGGCAAGTTCACTGCCTCTGGCTCTGTACGGCTGTGGGCAACTTACCTCTGTGTGTAAATACAACTCTATGATTACAACCATCAGAACATCAAATTCATATGCATTTATGTGCATTAATAAGCACGCAAATACAGAATGTGTACCTGAAAATACTCAGCCGAAGGGCGCACACTTCTGCAGCAAGATTTCGCTGATTAATACAATGACCTTTTATTTTCCTTGTTATCTTTATTTTTCTATGCAATTCAATTTATTTGTTGCTCTTTGCCTATGCTACATGTCTGTGGAACTGAGAAATCAAAGCTAGTAGCTGCAACAGGAAGTCCAATTCAGTAAGAAAATCATGTGTAAGATCACAAGAAACTGCTGCAAAATTTATCATAACTCTGTTCACTCTAAAGAAAAGCAGAAAGGAGGCTTGAGCAAGAGACTCAAAGCAACGGCTGCTGAAGATTTCCTCCTCATTCTTTTTGCCCAATATTCACAAATGCTTTGTAAGCTTCTTGCAGTCCAACTTCTCAAAGACCTTTAGAAATTGATCTGGAATTCCTTATCTATCTGTGGCTTTGATACCTCAGATTGGAAATAGGTTAAGTATTTCACAATTTTTTAAGCTTTTTTTTTAAGCTTTACTGGTAGCTAGCTGCCTGAAAGTCTGCAACATCCATCTGCATGGTCACTGTTTTCCCTTTTTCTTCATTACTATCTTTCTCCATAGCCAACAAATACCGAGCCTTTCTTTTCACTTAGCTTGTCAACATTAAAGTGTGCTAAAAACACAATTGCTATGGGTGAAGTGGAATTTATGCTTCCACTTACAGTTGCATAAAAGTATGTAAAAAAATACTGTATTTTCAAAAGAAACAACCACTTGTTTAAATTGTATTAAAATTTCTGAAGCAATATAACAAAGTTCTGAATGTGTCATTTTTCAAAAAATTATTTTATTGACAACTATACTTACTGCACATCTGCAAAGATTTCCTTATGTTTCAAATTTCTAAAAGAGAACTGAGGGAAATATTACATAGTCTTGTACTATTAAAAAAAAAACATACAGTTTTGTAGATATACAATCAGGCATATCTGATTTACTATGATTATCTGATTTACTAGGTTCCAAGCAAACGTTACCAAAAATCTAAGTGACTGAGGTGATAAAATGAGAAATTTCATAATAAAATCTAAGATTTAAATTATTTTTGTTCTGTTAAGTTTGTAAGACACACTCTGTAAAATCAAACTGGTGCATCGATATTTAACCATTGAAATACATTCAAGACCGTATTGACACAGTATAAAATGACTGAAATTTCAATAGGAGCTATACGTGTAAATCCAAGAAGATATGATTTCATATGAGATGGTAATAATAGATTTCAAAATATCACCCTTCCTCGATTGAAAAAAATTAGAACTGCCATAGAATTGAATATGCTAAAGAGAGATGCAAAACAGGGAAAATATGCTTAACTTTCTTAAGATGAGAATGCAAACAAGCACTTTAATCTTTAGACAAAATCTCATTTTTCTCAAGATATTTAAAAAAAAATTACAAGATTATTCATAAGGGAATCTACTTACAGATGCTGTCACTTGAGAGGCACTCTCCAATTCATCAATATCTTCCATAAGTGTTTCAATCCCAGGTACCTGAGCTGTTCCAATGAGGTAGAAAAGAAATAAATTGCATTAAATAACCATTACTCACTTTGAAAATAGAATACTTATAAATTAACTGCTGAGAAGGTAAATTCAGCTACCATAAAAGCAACGCTTTCTATTTACACTTGAATGGATATTAATTTACGACTAATTTTAAGGTATAAGCTTAATACAATGAGGAACAGTGTCTCTAACATGAATAGAGTGACAAGCAAGCCTCATTTATCTGCTAACAGTTTTATAGGTTATCTGTTATTTTTACTGCTAAAACGAAATTATTTGTCTGCACAATGGAGTAGTAGATTCTCAGGTTCCAATCGCTTTAGGCAATGTTTAAAGGCCATGCAAGCAATGATTTTAGCCCATACTGTCACATTTGTTAAACAACAAGATTTGGTGAGAAATTCAGAAGGCCTCTGACACACATTTAATGACTTAAAAGACAATTTATGTACCTAGGCCAGAGAAACCAATTTCTAAGTGACATGCTGTGCAGTTTCACTGCCTCCTAGCCTTATAGGCACTTAGATGCTGTTTGTAAGCTATGTAAAAAACAAGATGCCCTGATCTTCCCTGAGTTCTGCTGTTATTCAGACATTTAGCAGGGAGATCCTCATGTTTCCAGAGTGCCTGGATAAGTGAAACATCTCAGACTATACTTACTATAAAAACAACTGCACTGAAGCACAGCTACTACGGTTACCACGTTCACTGCAAATGCAAATGAAAGTGGGGAAAAAAGAGATGATGATGCAGTGTGGAGAAGTGTTCAGAGAACTGATCAAGAACTGGGAAATGATGCCACATTTTTGCCATTGCCATGCCTGGTTCACATCCCCTATATTTTTATCCTTATTAATTTTTCATCCTAGTCATGCAGTTCCAACTGGAATAGCATTACATATGTTTGATAGAACCCTATTTCTGTTGAACTTCTCAAATTTCAAACTTTTTCCATCCAAATGCCTGTTTCCAACTTTCTACTTTACTGGCACTTTAATGCAAAGCAAACTCTGGAATTTACATATCCTAGTATTTTCAAACATATCAGGTTGAAACTGGAGCTGCCTTACTACAAATAATAGAAACTCGTGGCTCCTGTTTGATAGGGAATTAAGCACTGATGTGAAAATTACTTAACAAAATTTATTTAGCAAACTAATTATTACATATCATAGCACAATCTGTAGATCTAATATAATAAGAAATACCACATGCATACTGTGGCATAGCACTGCATAAACTACCATTCCCAGTCCTAATACGTTGTTCCAGGAAAAGCCACAAAAAAAAGCCAAGTCTTTGCTCACACCTCAGAAATAGGTGGTATTGCATACTGCTCATGCCACAAACAGCTTTTTCTTTTTCAGATTAATTGGGCAGTTTAAAAAATTTAAAGATCAATGCTTTTCATTCACCTAACATTCAGAGCTCACTCTCTCATTAGGTATTTTAAGCCTTCTACAAGAATGCACTCACTGCAAAGATCTTTGCAATAATTTCATTTTTTTCCTGCCTTGTACAGTGGCTCTTACTCGAAGTGTATACGGCACTTGCCAGCAAAAAGGACTGAAACCAGCAAAACAAGATCCCACTGCACTTAGAGGCACCCAGAATTAAATGAAGACATGCTTTTAGTGATACCATTTCTCCATATCCAAGTTCAAAAAACCACACATCAGTACATGACCTGTACAGTTCCCCCCACCATGAAAGCAGCATGGAGACTGTCAGCCACAGATTTGTACTGGATCAGTCCAATTGCAGTATCTATCTGTACAGAACAAGAAGATTTATAGGAAGACTGAACCATGAGACAAACTCAGGAGGCTTGGCATCTACAGGGGAAGTTTACAGTGCACTAATCAAAATCAGGAACATAACTATTAAATTCTTCCCTGAGTTATTTCCTGTGAGATGGTCCAATGGGAAAGAGAAACAGTTTTGATGGGTATCACTTGGAACAGTGAAACAGCAGTGTTAGAGCATCTTGTGCCGTCTGATCTCAAGACCTGATTCCCCTCTCATTTCTATTGCTTAGATCAAAGATAACTCTGCTCAATTCAGTAGGATTGCACCAGAGGGAAATCAGTGCAGTGGTTAATTAGAGCCAGATAGAGATTGTCGGTGGAGTCAGTATTGTGCCTGATGCTGCAGATGATCTTTTTACATAGGCTATTCCATTGACTTTATGAGATGGAATTGCTTTAGTAAGCTTATTTATAAAGGGCTGTTAGATCAGATGTGCAGCCAATTACTTCTGAACCTGGCTCATCTGAAATCCACAAGAGAGATGCTCCAGATCGAACAACTTAACAATTTCTCACTAACCCAGAAAGAAATCATTAAGGAAAGCTGTCTCAACTTTGCTGTACATTAGCACCTTGCTTGCACACTCCTGAAGGAATGGTTTACATCAGCACTTAGCAACTCATAGTTTTCTCAGTTAGGTCATTCGTATCAACAAGAGCAGAAAATAAGTTCAGATGAACCTGGTAATTGAAACCTGCTAGTCTTTTTCATGATATAATACATACATTCAGGACATAACTAAAATTTGAAGTCTAACACAATGCTTTGGCTATTTAGAGTTTTCTAACAATATATTTTATCATCTTCTTCACATATTTAGTTTTAGATACACAGAAAACAAGAATTGTGCTGCATTTATAGGAAAGATAGAATAGGCAGCTGCCTGGGTTCTACATCTGTTTCTAGTCTGTGCCTTCTTGTAAAATCCAGAAGTGAGTGTTTCTTTCTTTCTTTCTTTCTTTCTTTCTTTCTTTCTTTCTTTCTTT